GGAGAGCTGCCACCGCGCTCGGCTCGGCCCTGCCCTGGGCGCGCAGCCCACAGGCGTGCAAGGAAAATCTCGGGTGTCAGTTCTCGGGTACGCGAGACGCCCCGCACGTTTGGGGTGTCCCTAGTCGAAACGTGTAGCCCCCCGAGGGAGCGTCAGCGGTCGGTGCCCGCAGGCGTGGCAGAGGCACGCGTTGTGCGCGAGACCCCGGTGCCAGCGGGTTGGCCGGCGGGTCAGGCTGGTGACAGCTGCCTCGTTACAGTTCAGAGCACCCGGCTTCCCCTCTGGAGAGACGGGAATTGCTGCGCATGGCAGTGGTATGATGAGGGGTAGATGTGTTTCTCCTTGGGCGAACGACTGATTAATCTTTGTTTCCAAGTAGAAGTGGTCCAAGGGGAAAGTCAGAGACAAGTTGAACAACCTGGTCTTGTTTGACAAAGCCACTTACGATAAACTCTGCAAAGAAGTGCCCAACTACAAGCTCATCACGCCCGCTGTGGTCTCGGAGAGGCTGAAGATTCGAGGCTCTCTGGCAAGGGCTGCCCTCCAGGAGCTGCTCAGCAAAGGTACCGATGCGCCCCGCTCTGCAAGGGGAGACGTCAGAGATGGTCAAGCCACTCGTGTTCCTTTCTTGCTCTTGGTATTTGGGGACTTACTTCGTACCCATCTAATTGGAGGTCATTTACATGTACAAAGGAGCTCAGTAAGGAGCTTTTTGAGCTTAAACATCTCTAATCTCCTTTCTTTCCTTGCACCAGCTAAATCTAAGGGGTTTCACCTGGTATCTTTCTCAATGTAGAGCATATAAAAACTAAAGGGGGATTCATAACCAATCATTACACTCCTGAAAACACAAAGTAAAAGACCTAGGGAAGGTGTCTGCATCCAGCCTAATTGCTGTGGTGAGTCGTGTGTGGAAAACGCTTCCTAGGACCCGGTTACAGCAGAAGGGCGGGAGGCAGAGCAGTCGCCAGCACAACAGACGGTGTGGCGGGGCACTGACATTGCTCGTGGATGTGCTCTGCTGCGGTGGGGTCAAACGCTTTGGCAGGTGTGCAACAGGGTAGCCCTGTGCCCTGCAAGGGCCTCCCTGATCCCCGTCCCTGTATTTCTGTCTTCTGGGCAGGTTTGATCAAACTTGTCTCCAAGCATCGAGCACAAGTGATTTACACCAGAAACACGAAGGGAGGAGATGCGCCTGCTGGAGGAGAAGATGCATAAAGGTGATGTAACCATCCCTCCGTGCCATGGATTCCTCAAAATCCCAATGCAAAGCCCTCCTAGTAAACACCCCCCACCCCATTTAGATGGGCTATTCCCCTCATCCTTCAGAAAAAGATGCTATTTGTACTGCTTGAAAGGAGACTGCAAGCATGCAGGCAAGGCAGTGGATTAAAACCTAATCGCCTGCCCTGGATAGAGCCTGCAATTTCTAAATCCAATTGAAGGTACTGAACAGCAGTTGATATTTGGCATGAGGGGCAAGAAAACAGCTTCTGTGCTTGTCCATGTCTCCCTCTTCCTTTTTGTAAAGGCTTCTCTGGCCTTCAAGAAGTGATGAAACACCAGCTGCCATCCAAACTGAATTGTTTATAGGCTGCAGAAGACTCTTCTATAGAAGCAGTGGTTTTAAGGACATGGTTTAACAGGCCATCAGTTGTGTGGATCTGATTTTCTGACCTGGTCCTTCTTACTTTGCAGGCTTCTTCAGTGACCTCTGCAAAGATCTTTCTTCTGTAAAATGTATACAATAAAGTGAATGGATTCAGTTTGCCTGTTTCTCCTTGATTCCTGGGGTGAGAGCGCAATAGCATGCAGGTGAGCCGTGGGTGGCATGGCGCAGCAGCAGTGGGTGCCAGGGAACTGCTCTGCAGAAGTGTTTGATCTCCTGACATGATTTCTGTGGGTGTGACTTGACTGAAAACTGTAGGCTCTTGGCTCCACTAACCTACTTTGACCTGAAATTTACTTGGCAATGCTGAAGATGGGCTCCTGGGCGTGAGGAACCTGGTCATGTATTCTGGGACCATGTCAAAGCCCTACTCATTCTGCAGGATGGTCATTGTTGAGACTACTTTGTTCTGACCTAGTAAATTGCAGTTCTTATGTTTTATGCAGGACCTTTGACAGGATGGTAATTATTCACATGCCTAGTCATTCATCAGTGACTTTGGAAATGTCTGTTTTACCTTGGTTGTCGTATATTGTTAGACACATCTTATTTTGCTTAATCTACTTCCATTTGCATGCAGTAGTAAATTCTGACAGGTATCCACGTTTTAAAACAGAAAAGGAAACTTTGTATAGCAGTAAGTTATAAAAACTATTACTGATAACTTGCTGTATAAACAGCTGTATGTGTTCATAAACAAAGCTTTGTTCTTAGACTTATTCTGCTGCAGGCGGAGGCTCCGTGTTTTGTGATTCAAAGCGTGGGAAACTCGGTGGGCTTAGAATTGGTGTTCTGCCTGTTCTGATTGCAGTTACATAGAAGAGGATGTAAACTGGGTTCAAAGAGTACTGCTATAAATGAATTCAAACAGACCTAGGAAGGCTAATGGTATACCTAGAGAGGAGAGGTATTTGCATTGTATCTTTGCAAGATGGTATAGCTGCAGGAAAATAAATAGAGCTATCCAGCTAAATAGAGAATGTTTTTAAATCTGTAGAATCCGAGTGAACTACATCCGTATGGTTAAAGGTCTCCAGTTGTCCACTACGTTTTCAGTGCTGCTTGCAAGCATGATCATCTCCAAACCAAAGCTATCTGGCATTGTCACACACTGAAGTTTGTTTTTTTTAAGCACAACCAAGACCTCAACTATTCTGGCATGTGGGAAAGGGTGCTGGGCTGCTTAGGAAGATCTGGGTGTTTCATACTTGTGGGGAGGAAGCAGTGCTGCTAATGGGCAGAAACAATCCTACCCCACAACACAGCTTAACAGGCTGCTCCCTGCCTGTGAGGAAGGGGGATGTTTAGGCAGGGCTGTGCTGTTCATGACGAAATTGCTCAAACAGACATGGGAGGGGGAGACAGAAGTGACAGTGGAAGGAAGGAAGTGCACAGCTGAACCTTCCTACCTGGTGACTTGCGTCTTCAGGGAGCTGCACACACTCTTAAACGCAAGGGGTTCTAGGCTCCATTAAAACCACTGTAACTCTTGGCTATTTTCTGCCAGGATCATGGGGCTGAGCAAGCTGCTCTGCTATAAAGGCAGTGCATGCAGCCTAGCAGAGTTTTTCCTCACTGAACTGAGGTCTCTGACTTAGCACCTGCATAGTGCAATAAGCTATATGCATAGGAGAAACATGCAACAATGAAGCTGAATTTCTGTGATATGGGCAGGCTAGATGTGTACCCTTGAGCAGCTGGCCTGGGCCTCCTACTGGAAGCTTGGGCCACTTTTTCCCAGGGTGTAGGATAGGCTACCACAAGTTTTATGAAGTAGCTTTTAAATAAGTGTTGAGACATGATGTATTTAAGTGCAAGTTTAATATGGTTTATGCAATGGAAACAAAAAGACAAAATGGGACTGGTACACGATACTACAAATGTTGCAAGCATCACTTCAGAGAACCTCAGATTTTGGTCTCCTTGTGTTCCTCCTCTGTCTGTGGGTTTTTTGCCCTGCTTCAGCTTTGAACTGATGTCTGAAAAGAGAGAAGTTAGTTTTAAAGGAAAGAACATGGTGAATAGCTGCTTTAAGGAGGAAGTCTGAGGTAAGCAGCAATACAGAGAACTAATGACTGGCTTAAGCTCCCACAAATATACCTTTGGGGTGGGAGTGACTGGTTAGGTACCCCCTAGCAGGTCGGTCTACTACAAGTTTTTTCTTTGCTTCTGTCAATTTACACAGAATGCATTGGAGACTGGTACTCATGGAGTAGGATCCTGCAGGCCTGAGGATAAGTGCTAGCCAAATGCAGCAGGGTACAAGTAGAAAGGGGCTTGCATGTGAACTTGGTGTCAGACCGCAGCGCTCAAGACGCTTACCTTGACTGCCATCTCCTGCCATGATTCCAGACCCGCCCGAAGGAGGGAAGCCAACCTTCCCCTGTCTGAGATGTGTGGTCAAAGTTGGCACCAACGCGCTCGGCTGGAAGCTTTTTCAGCTTCTGCTTCTCCTCTACCAATGGAACAGAACTAATTACACTCCTGCCTGCTATGTTTCTTTTCTGAGTGTGCTGTTTATGCCTCAAAGTTTATTGAAGCTCTAGCTAAAGCTCCTTCCCAGAATTAGCGGGGGGGGGGTAGAAAAAGAGAGCCCACTCCCAAGTCTATAAGGCAGCGTTCTGTAAGCCTTGCCTACCTTGAGAATAAGAGTAAGTGATGCACATGGTAATCTGACTCCCTGGTAAAACTTTTACTCTATTTACAATGCTTTATTTTTAAAGGAAGTAAAGAGTTTAAAAATTAGAACTCTTCCTCAACCAGTCCAAGCAGTAATATCCAAACTCACTTTCTTTGAGAAACTCTTCATATGAAGGCCCAATCTGCTGTTTGTTTCCAGCCTCCTCCTCTTCATCCTGCACCAGCCAGGGAGGCTTGGCTCCTAGGGGGTAATAAGGGGCTTAAACTACTGAAATTATCCTGAATATGACAGAAGGAATGGGAGAATAGCCCCTATTAGTCCAGAGTGCTTCCTTGACAAGTGATGAAACAGCTTTTCCCCATGGACCTGCTATTTTTTGCTCTTGTTTTTGGAGACTATACAAGGAGAGGTACTTTAGTGTTGTTCAGCTCTGGGTCACAATGACTGATATTTAGACAAGTATACACGATGGAGCAGCAACAGCCACTCCTTTATTACATTTACAAGGGAGGCTCTTTTAGAAGCCTAGCCACTTTTGCCCATCCAGAACATGAGCAAGGTACCTAACCATCCTGGTCTTATCCAAGTTGTGTTCTAAAGTTGCTTTGAATGCAGGTGAAAAAATCCAGAGCCTGCAGATTTACAGAAAGGTGGCAAAAGTAGAATAATAGCAGAGGCTTACCTGTGTGAATGTTCCCTTTCCCACCAGTTTCCTGTTTGGTTGGTTTAAAAAAAAAAAAAAAAAAAAAAAAAGTTGGGGAAGGGCAGAAAAAAATATCCCAATTAGAAGTGTTCTCTCTTAAGATGACCCACTGCAACTTTTGCCTATAACAGCTGATAGGTGCTAAAAGGACAGCAGCAGCCTTACCTGGTGGCCGATGAAAGTCAGAGCATGCCCCTTTTCCATCCAATCTAAATCAGACAATGGTTGCATCCCACTTGGACCAGGCTGCTCCTTAGTGCAGCAGGTGATGTCACTAGAACAGAAACAGCCAAACAGGTAAGGAACTTAATTATGGTTTTGCTCCAAGCTGTAAGTAATCTCAAAGTGCAGCACTCACTTGTTAAATGTACATCTTGGTGGTGGGGGCGAGGCAATGGCACTTCAATTTTTTTTTTGTTTAAGCCCTGAGAATTGTTAGCAGCTATGAGAGAGGATGGGAAATGCAGACTGCATCTGACCATATCTAGTGCTACTTTGGCACAAGTGCTAACTCCTTGATACAGGTGTGCAAGATAAAGTAGCCCGAGTCAGGTCCTCAAGGTTTTAGCTACTCTAGCTGGGGAAAGTGATGGTAAGGCACTAGGTAATTACTGCTCAGTGTTACAAGTTCCCAGAAGGGAGCCTGGCAGAGGTGAGTTTCTTACCTTTCAGAGACACAGGCTGCACTGAAGACCGAGGGTCCATCACAAGGTTCTGTCTCTCTCTCAGGCTGGGTTTGATTCAGGAAAAATAAACAATTTTCTGGTATTTAACAACAGACCCCTTCTGTTTTGTTAGACACCTCAAAGTGAAGTAGGCCATTCACGTCTGGGTTACGGGGAAGGGGTAACTTTCAGTGCTGACCCTGAAGCTTATTTATCCTACTGCTAAGGTTGCAGAGCCTGTGGCAAACAGACAAACGAGCTCGACTCCAATTACAGAATCCCCACTGCTGATGGGGGAGGGCACCCACTGCCCACAAACTCAACAACGGCACTCAAGAGGTGGGTAGGGGCCAGTACTTACCCCCAAGGTGGAGGTGAGAAGCCTAGCCAAAGCCCCTAATGGCTCCGCAATCCCATTCCCTTTATAAAGTGGAAGACTAGATTTGCTGAAAATGGGTGCATCTGGTACTGGACGTTTCTTCAGATTGTTAATATAGGAAAATGATAGCTACTAGTATAATAGATCAGGTGCCTAGTGCAATACTCGTACACTGTATTCTTGGTTCCTTCTCCCTGACCAGCTTTTAACCCTGACCAAAGTAACTAGCAAACAGTGCCACTATTCTGGCTCCAGCTACCATGATGCAAATCAGGCACTGCCCACACATCCCTTACCCAACCCGAGTTGAGCAGGTCACTTGGAGGCAAGGAGGGCAGACTTGCCAGCGGCCGCACGGGGGGGCCAGAGAAGTTGTTCAAAGCAATGCTTGGTTTCAGTAGAAGAGCCGGGGGGAGAGAGACTTAAAAGAGCCCACAGGGCTCGAGACAGCAAATGCCCTCACTGTGCTGGATACTGTTCAGCTGCGTCCTGCGAAACAAACCTCTAAGGCGGCTTGCACCAGCTGCCGCCTGCTCTCCTCCACCTCTCGGATGCGAGACGCCATCTGGAATTGAAGGAGGTGAGAAATGGGATAAGGACTAAAGGCAAAGCGGGCAGCTGAGTGGAGCAGAGCTCAGCGGGGCGTCTCTGGTCACCTCTTCAATGGTCTTGTCCTCTTTTTCTTCATAAGCATCCACGGCTTTAACGAGGGAGGATTGGAACCTGAAAAAGTGCTAGAAATCAGTCACTGGCGAGGCGTTGTACAGTCTGACTCGGCCTGGGAGCGAGCAGTGCCCGGCTCTCGCGGCTTGGGCAGGCGTCGGCATCTCGGCCTTGCTTGTGCCTCGCGCAGGCGCGACTCGGGGGCTGCCGCGTGCCGGGAGCCATGCCAGGGCAGAGAGATGAGCAAAAGCCTCAAGCAGGCAGCCCACAGTGACCGCTGGCTGGGCAGGCGCAGGGCCACGAGGGGAAGGGGAGCGATGTGGGGACGGCCGTGCAGCACAGCCAGGCGGGCACAGGGGGCCGGGGCCGGGCACAGGAAGCCGCCCTCCCCCCTCCCCGGGGGCCAGGTACCGTGCGTAGTCCTGTGGCGACACGAGGAAGTGATGCTTCAGCTTGGGCTCGGCCTTGTTCTCCCACCAGGCTGGGCAGGCGCAGGGCCACGAGGGGAAGGGGAGCGATGTGGGGACGGCCGTGCAGCACAGCCAGGCGGGCACAGGGGGCCGGGGCCGGGCACAGGAAGCCGCCCTCCCCCCTCCCCGGGGGCCAGGTACCGTGCGTAGTCCTGTGGCGACACGAGGAAGTGATGCTTCAGCTTGGGCTCGGCCTTGTTCTCCCACCAGAAGCGGTGCAGGGCGCTCCTGTGCTCGGCGCTGCGGGGAGAGGGCGGTGAGGCGGGGCGGGGCGGGGCGGAGCGGGGGATCGGGGCC